CAACCTGCACAACACAGCAGAGGTAATCCTGGTATGACGTAAGACCATTGGCTAGTGTATTACAATATCCTAGGTCGCAAACACCGGCGTATATCCGGTTCACAATGAAGTGCACCTTTTGAGTCAAGTGTATATGTGAGGCGGCGTGGTGGAACCATGCTCTCGTCAAAATAATCAAAGTGAAGAAACTTGCCTTTTTCTGTAGGTTTGTGAATTTTTATCAACTTTTGTTTTTTGGATCAACACCTTTCATGCCCATTAAAGAACTCATTTCTCAGGGGATTTTTCTGGAAAAAAACGTCGATTAAAGGCACAGAAAATGTATATTTTCAGTTGCCACGGACTCTTAAGCTAAGGAAATTATAACTAATCTTTGGCGGCCATTTTCTCACTAATTTTTACCTCTGAAAACAAATGACCCCGACCTAATTCTTTCGCAAATATCTCGACTTGTATTCAAGATAAATGGATATTTATTTTCATCCAAATAAAGACAAGTGAACAAGCTTTAAGATGATACCGATAACTCTACATGCTCAAAAATTGACGAGAGCCTGTGGTTCCACCACGCTGCCTCATAATTTGTCTGTTTTGTTTTATATTTTTGAAAAAAAGAGGGGGGGGTGGATAACCTTTAGTGAATCGATATATTTGTTTGATTAAAGTGTAAACCTGCCTAGGCAATCTACACCTAGCTGGCAAGTTTAGTATAGTATAAGTAATATGTGTATCTCCCTTGACTGTCTGGGCGATCCTGGATTGATTCTTTAAAGCAATAATCTTGCTCTCCATAAATCTGAGTTTTCGGGGATAGAGGCTTATTCGTATGTAATGCCTCTGAGGAAAAAGGTAAGATACAAATGCCGTGTCAGTACCATACTTACAGCTTTGGCTTTAGCAAGAGTTTTACAGCACTTCCAGCACAAAAAGGTCATATAAGTGCCGAAGATTAAAGGTGTTACAAGCGAGTAACAAACACAAAAAGAAAGAGGAGAGATCAGGACGATAGATGGTTGATTGGAAAAAAAGAGCAAACTTACACTTATCTAACATCACACCAGAAGTTATTTAGATACTGCACATAGTTTGAAGTTAACACATCATTTCTCTTGTTTTGTTTTTGTTTTCTTTCTCAGAATCAGCCGGTTCTACAAGCAGAACATCTGACAAATACGGGGACAACTCAAACGGGAACGCAAACATGGGCGGAGATAATGCTGGTGACATGACAACACCCAGCCTCCACGTGACTCTCACCATGGCAGCTTTGATTTCCATGTGGCTCTTTACTCTTCTTTGAGATTTTACCATGAAGAAAAAGGAATGTCGCGCAAGTTCCCCCCTCAGCTGACTCATGGTTCATAATAGCTCTTTAGGGAGCTCAAAAGCTACCAAACGACCTCTGATATGCAGCTCGTGTAATTTTGTTATCTCTTCTTTATTGCCGGTCAAAGGAGGTTTGATGTAGACAACCCACTGAGACTCAGTTAGCTCATCATTGAGGGAAAGACACCTCAAAGTTTTCACGTTGAAGGGATCATTACGGTACAAATATTTTGTAATCCTCATGTTTGAAACTCCGGCGTATGTGTCGTTTTTGGGGGAATGTGCCTATGGGTAATATTGAGGCATGTATGCCCCCAGGTGTCTTGGGCTACAGATTGTGGTGATATCTATGTGTGTGGATGCGTTTGTGTGGATGTGGATATGTGATTTATATATATATATATATAATATTGTTTTTAAGACCATGCCTTTTTTAATGTGTGTGCTTGTGTGAGTGAGTGTGTTTGTTTGTTTGTTTGCTTGTGTGTGTGAGTGTGTGTGTGTGTGTGTGTGTATGTGTGTGTGTGTGTTTGTGTGTGTGTGTGTATGTGTTTGTGGGTGTGTGGGTGTTTGCGTAAAAGGTGGGAGGGGGGGGGGGGTGGGAGGTTCTTGGCGAACCAGACACTCCGACAGTTAAAAATTCCTGCACTGTGGACGTATTGTGCGTGCGTGCTTTCTGGGTGATTATTTATTATGCTGTGTATTGTGTTTCAGAATGTTAGCTCAGTTTTATTGCCATCGATCAGCCACCCCGAAAATGAAATTGTTCAGTCGTCTCGGAATACAAGAAGAAGATACAAATTTGTGGATGTAGCTAAAAATAATTTTCTGTTGTTATTATTGTAGCAGTTTTCAGGACAGAATAGGCTTGGGGAGTGATTGATTATAAAGGGGATGGGGGAGGAGGGGTAGAAGAAAAGTTAACTGTGTGCTTTTTCTTATATCAATGTTGGCGATTGTCGAGTGCTCGAAACATAAATGTTCAACGCAAGAAAAGAACCATTAATTGGGGGCACCAAGAATGAAATTGCTCTGTCTCGTAGGCCCTAGACACTCATTTGTTTCAACGAGAGAAGCCAAAGAGTCTGATTAAATGGGTTCCCCGCAAAAGTGAAAAATCCAGGGTGCTGGACCTTAATGGCAAAATGCTGGTCATTTGTTATCGATTGCTTTGATATTTTGTAGAGTCACCAGTTTAGTCCAAAGTTTGTTTGTTTTTTATTATTGCTCTTTATCCATCATGACTGTCGTTCTTGTTTTTCTACTAAACTATGTTTCTGTATTTTAACCGTGATCGTTTTATTGCTAGATGTAAATATTCAGATTCTTCAACAATGAGCGTGACTTGACAAGGACGTACAAAAGCAGTATTTATGACTAAGAGTTTAAGTTGTGGATGTCTGTTATGAAAATACAAAATGGAATACATGTGTATGTTTGTTTGAATAAAGAAAAGCATGCCGGCACGAAAACGATCATTTCGGTGTAGTGAGGAAAATAATAATTGGAGAGTTTCAACCTGAGAAATAAGATAAAGGAAGTGACCAACCAGTGGCGCCCTCCAACCACACGGTCATAGTAACCAGAGGATAAGCGAATTTGTACAGCGTTCCACGCACATGAGCTTGCATTATACGGATACGTTTATAGAACAAAGATACGATATTTTTTTTCTTAGCTGTCAGAGCTGTTGAAAAATATTCCTATTGGAGCCCAAAATCATTATATTTAATACGGCGTTCTGAACAATTCCTTTTTTTCGTTTTGTACTAACTCCCGTTTTTTTCGACGAGGATTCAGTGCTTCCAAAGCAATGTACATCCAAACCGCCAGAAAATAAATGCATAGTTCGATAAATCTTCTGAGGTCAGCAATTCAGTGGCTGAAAGCTGCAGGTGAGAAAGACAAAGGATGAAGATTTATGAAAGGCTGGTAGTGAAGTGGACGGAAAAGAGTGCTGTCTGAAGTCAGAACTAATATCTTGACATGAGCCTACCTCTTCTATGTTATGCATTTTATCACATGTGTGTGTGTGTGTGTTGTTGTTTTGTTTTTTCAACAAAATTAAATTAAGCTTATTATCACATCTTTATTGTATCCTTAAAATAAATCACTATATTCCAATGTGTACACCTTTTATGGTTTAATGTCACTGAAGATATTTCATGCCTTAAAAATTCATCGATTTTTCAATGTCTCAAGCAAGGGGCTTAAAAACACGTTTCTTTTTATAATGAGTTCAAAGTTTTAAAAAAAATATATATACGTCTTTTTTCCATAGATTCTCACTTTTCCAACTTTGTAATAGTTTTGTGTTGGTTTGACTCTGAAGAAACTTTTTTTCACTTCGACACACCTTTCATTATGTCCCCATGCTTAATATGGCCCATAAGCAGAATCTGATTGTAAGCTTCGTATTATTTTTGGCTACAACTGCTAGCGCCCCTGAGTACTTGTAAAAGATCACGTTCCTGTAAATATGGATAATTCGAAAATAGGATAACACTTTTAGCAATTTTGACTCCGATTCGCTAAATGTTTTCTGTTGCTCTACGTTACGATCACTTGAAACAAAATTTTCTTTTTTGTTTCTTTTCTATTAATCCTTTTGCCATCTAATGACAACTTTTTTATGTACAGTAGGCTTATCAGCGGGTTTTCAACCCAAGAACATCACTCCTTCATTAAACAGAAATGTATAGTCCCTTTACAGTTTTTTTCTATTCCTACCCACCTCCCCCCCACCCCCCTCATAGTATTGCTCTTAGTAAAACAACTACTATTTTTTTTAATTGTTTTTTTTTAATTATTATTATTATTATTATTATTATTATTATTGTTTTTGTTGTTACTATTATTATTACAATTACACGTATTATTTTTTATTATTATTATCATCCGTATTCTATTACAATTTTTTTTATTATCAAATTGTATCACAATGAAAAGAACTCAACCAAGCGGAGTCCCAAAGACAGTATTCTATTCTGAGCTGTCCTTGGGGAAGCATGAATTTGGAGCATCTAAAAAAGCGTCTGAAAATGTCTCTAAAGGACTTCAACATGAATTCCGTGACATGGGAGAGTTCATGGGAAACACAGTTGGAGATGAGCAATTACAGAGGGCAGCAAATCGTACGAGAGTTCCCGAATTGGAAATGCTGAAGCTAAGAGAGAGAAGCACGCAGGCTGCACTAATTACCACTTACACAAGTGCAAATGCAGTTTTTATTTGCTCAAAATATTAATATGGCAAAATTTTCTCTGCCTTCCTCTGGTCTCATTAGCCCAGAGCAGAAGCCATGCTTCGTCTTAATCCTTATATTATTATATCCTTCACTTCTTTTTAGATTCTCTTCGCCAGATGCAGTGGTCATCGTAAGACACTGGCAGACGACATTATTATTATTATTATTATTATTATTATTATTATTATTATTATTATTATTATTATTATTATTATTGCTGTTGTTGTTGCTGTATTATCATTGTTATTATTATTATCAACATCATCGTCATAGTTGTGTTATTAAATTTTCATCCCGATGGAAGCAGTGACAAGAAAAACAACCCATTAAATAACCATTTACCATTATGTATAAAAGTCATTTCCCCTTCTCAAATCCTAAGAAAGGGTCGCTCGTTGTCATTCGTAATGGTAGACAGAAAAATTACATGTAGTTGTTTGAAGGCTCACGATTTGTTCATACGTGGGGGGTCTGTAGGGAAAGAGGAAACACGAATAAGATATCGTTTATCCAATGCTACCTTCTAACCTTGTCTGTCTGTCTGTCTGTCTGTCTGTCTGTCTGTCTGTCTGTCTGTCTGTCTGTCTCTCTCTCTCGCTCTCTCTCTCTCTCTCTCTCTCTCGCTCTCTCTCGCTCTCTCGCTCTCTCGCTCTCTCTCGCTCTCGCTTATTCTATATCTATCCATGTGTGCATGCACTCGTATTTCGCCGTCATCACTTTTGGACAATAGTAACTTTCGACCTAGATCACCTGGCCCCGCCATAGACTCCCAGAGCTGTCATGACCGCCACTCTTCACTCCCTTTAGTTTTGAAGCCCATTGGGCCGTGCTATCGCACCCAAATGACGGGAAAACGAGTTTCGCTTCCTGGAGAATACATTCAAACCTCGCTTATATATCGCTTTAAACCACCATCCGCCAACTGTCTGAATTTTACGGTTCTTAGAGAATAAATCATGTAAATTTGACGAGCTATGCCGCTAGAGGTACACCCAACACACGGCGCGAGGCACGCTCTCAGTGCCACACGTCTCTCCAATTTTAACCTAGATCTAGATCTAATTGCCTCTGGTCTGTGCTGATTATAAAAATGCTATTATTATCGGGCTTTAACTTTGACCAATATTTCTTGGTTAAAATGGAATGGAAGGTTAAAGTCGCCTGAAGAATCTTCTAAGGAGCTGCTCAACCTCGACCTGTTGGCTAAATGTCTGTCGTCGCCAGATATCAATGTGAAGACCGAAAGTCTGGTGGGCACCCGTGAGGCTTTTGCTTTTACATTGTGACGACTCACCCACAAGTCTAAGTGAAATGTCTGAGGCAGCCCGAGAACTAACGATTATCGAGTAGGCTATAGAAAAGCAACTGTACGTCTACATGGTCCTTGGCACGTAGCCAAGCTTCTGATTCCACAGAAATGTCCAATTTGAATTCATATAAACTAGTTGTACATTTGGTGGTTGCTTGTTTTTTCCCTGCGTATTGCAACCGAGCACAACAGATCTGGAAAAGTCAAGACTGGCCACAGTTTGTCTCTTGTCTTTACCAATCTTTCTCTAGTCAAAATGGTAATCGGTACTATCCCGTTATATCACCAGCCCCGCGGTGTACCACCAACTGCATACTAGCCTCGTGCTTTCGAAGGGAACATAACGGGGTTTGACTGTATTACATCTATATACTTATACAACAACTGTTGTTATTCCTCATCATTATAACACTTAAATAGTTTCGCTATAGT